TAATAATAATAATAATTATATATATATATATATATATATATATATATATATATATCAAATATATCCTTCTCGGCACACCTTGTGAGTCAGCACTATCTCTTCTAGTTCGTTCCTCTGCAGCCACCTGTTTCTCTATGTTCTTAAAGGCCTTAACCATGCGCTCACTACTACCTCTGCGCAGCGGAAGAGACCCTCTCCGCACAGGATTCCCGTAGCCGCCGGTGGATGCCATGGCCGAAGGTTGTACTAGTGCACACTGAATGGGGAGTTCACTGGGCGCAGATTCAGATTGTGGTGTACACTGTTTTAGATAGTTTGTGTTCACAGATTAGCTTCCATGTGAGTATGTGAATCATATTGAAGTGACGCTGCATACACCTGATGCGCTGTCGTGCTGATTACAGATCTACCTTTGAATCCTGCGACACGGATGCTGGTAGTATTTGATGGACCATAATATTGATAGGATATATATATATTTACATGGTCGCTTTTTAAGTGTCTGATGGTTATAAAGGTATTCCATCATATTCTAACCTTAAATCCTCGGCAAACCCAAAAATAGGCGGATGGCCGACATATAACTATAAACAAACGACGTGTCAGGTGTCATTATTTTACCAATACACTTTCATCATAGTGATGAATAATAATAAATCGAGAAAGTAAAAATACCACCGTTATAATCAGTACCACATCTATTAGCTACTAATTGGTATCGCCACACTCAGCGCTAGCGCTCACAATACATTGCTTGTGGCAAAACCTGAGACAAAGTATACAGACTTTTAAAAGTATTGGTACCGACACGGCTACGGCTAATACATAGCGACAAATCACACCACCGGAGGGTGATAACAACGTACAATGATCAGGTTGCTAGGATTTGGTGATACATCCACCGAGTTCGAGAAATCGGCAAAGAAGCTCTTTGATCCCTCACTGGCGGTATGTGGCACTATAGTGAGAGGGATTGGATAAGAGATGTATCGCACTTACGTATGTGGGATGATTGAGTCATACTGTGTTAGTATGTTTCAAAGTGAGGTGCACTCCCGTCTGATCTTGACATTCCTACAGGAGATATCAGTGTCTCCGAGGCAAAGTGCTGCACTAAAAACATACAGGAGACTTGATACATATGATTATACTCTGGCGTCGAAGAAAACTACCATATGTGTTTTGAGTTAGCATAGCAAATAGGAAACAGATGTGTGTGCAGGTAAGATCCTCACTGCACATCTATATACTATATATCATATATACACACACACACATATATATATACATATTTACATATATACACACACACACGCACACACACACGCACACACACACACACACACACACACATACATAATACA